TGATGAAAAGTCACAATATATGATGAATTGATATTAGACTGTCTGATTTGTTGTTCTGGTGTAAGTTCAATTCATAAAGGGAATAAACTGTAAGAATCGAAAGTTACTTTAGTCAATGGCGCAATAAATATTTGGATTGCATAATTGATTACAAACAGAGGATTAAGTGATATTTCTTAGTAAGAAGAGGAATTACTGATTGAAATAAAAGATATTCATCAAAATATTTATTTCCTAATTTAAATGTAATGATGATATCAACAATTGAACCAATTTATTAAACACATCAACTCTTTACAGAATTCAATGTATAACTTTCATGTTGTTTGGCTAATGATGAGATTTTAAACTATTGAGAAACAGATATCAATTACTTTTTAATATCATTTGATGAAGAAAATTACTTTTCGTTAGATATATACATATATATAAATTACCGTCGAGACACAAACAAATATGACTGTTTATTTACTAAGTAAAATTTAATGTACTCTGTTAAATACTTTATATCAGGGTTGATGAAGTTAATTGACTATCTAAATCGAGCTGGTTAATGAGATGAGGATTAAACCAACAGTCTGACATTTGTAAATAAATCATATCTACAAATATTGTACTGAATGACTGACTCCTTATCCAGACTAGTTGGTTGAACAAACTTGGTCGACGGCCTATTCTTCACGAGGTGTAAGTAGGAAAACTAACTCATTACAAAGTTCCAGTGAATCATGAACCAACCAATGTTAGACTGATCCGGCATCCAACATTGTCAATGTCTAAGTTCAATCAGTCAACAATATTGCTCAACCTGAATGAGGTGGTATACTAAGGCGAAAAGGAGGTCCACTGCTTTCATGTTTCTAATGATGGTCTAATATTGATCAGTTCATGGCCTAAATGAAACTCGAAAATCTCCACAACCCTTTAACGATCAAAAGGTTATATATACCAAAAAAAAGTCCTTCATTAATAAATATGAATATTTTTTATTACTGTTAACTGGCATTGAAAAGAGCACCTGCGTGTATCAAGACATGTGTTACTGTTGAACTAGAACAATAAAATACACTCTATAAAATAACTGAAAATACATAAAATTGTATAATTAATGACAGAAGTTTGAGAGGATTCGTGAGCTTCATAGTTTACATCACGAATTGACTTTAGACAACTGGAAATCATGAAACAGTAGATTGCAGTTTCTTCTCAATAGCGAACTGTGTAGAAGGGCATAAACATAATTCCACTCTTGATCTGAAACCAGAACTTCCATGTTATTTGACGAGTTCTTAACTGTCAAATTACTTAATGGATATTCAGTAATTTACATTTATGGTTTCCAATAATTCATAGTATTGTGCATCTAATTTTTCATGCCACTGATAGATCACTTTTTTAAATCCGATAAACTTGAACTTCACTGCACAGTTTCTTACTAAAAATCCAGAAGTCATCATCTATTGTAGCAGGTTATTTGTAAGTGTATGATCGTTAGCATAAGGCATTTACAGAGGGTGATGTGGTAGTTTAGAGTTTGTATATTCGGTCAGTCAGATGCAACGTAGAACTTCGTACGTAAGTACATCAGTTCAGGTTGCCATACCACATTACCACAAAGATGTAATTGTCAATTCAAATCCCATAGTATAAGAGGTAGTAAAGGTATTAGAGGTAGTCGGAGAGGTTAGGATTACAAGATATTATTCAAGAAGTACGATTCAGTGAGAAAAGTTTGTATATTAGAAATTGACGATAGATTACCATGAAAAATCTAGAAAATACTGAACAATTATTTTGTCCTTTTTAACTTGTACACGCGAAACAACGAGAAATCATGAACAATGAGAGATAAGTCAGGAAAGACACAGGAAGAGAGAGAGAGAGAGTGAAATTTTTTTCACTTCAAATGAAAGAAAAGTAATGTTAATGTAGATTGAAACTTACCTAGTGTATTCATATTATTTGATAATGTAGCTGATCGACTAGATACAGTTGAATGTATTGTTGCATATTGTCTGTTATATTTGGAACTTTGTAAATCTTCATATGAATTTGTCAATTGTAATGAATTTGAACGTTGTGATAATTCCTTCTTTTAATATCGAATAATATTTTAATTGAAAAAAAAGAAGTAGGGAAAAACAAAAATTTTGCATATTGATGTTTGAAAGGGAATTCAGTTTTTATGATGAAAAAAAATGAAATAAAAATCAGAACAAACATGTAAATATTTTGAAGATATTTGGAATAGCGGAATTTAAGTTATGTGTTTCATCCTTATTTGGAACTCGTCAGCAAGATTTATCACCCTCCTAGTATTAGTGTTCTTTAAACCAGAACTCCAGATCAGTAATTTGAGGTTTATTGAATTCAGATTCAACTTGGTGTCGATTTTCGATAAATTGCACTTATTTTTCGATATCAAGTAAACAAACAGTATTTCTAAAACCTGGTCAGGATTAAAGACATCAAAGATTATTTGGGAACTAGTGTAATCAATCTATGAGAAGTCAGTCAAACACACCTAATCAGAGGTCAACCGAAGATGACTGTCAACTTGAACAGAAATAAAGATAAAGAAAACAAAACTTTCTAAGACAGTCAAACACAAGCAGGATCATCAGAAGGAATTGATTGAAAGATTGGGCAGTCACTAGAAAACTCATTTTTTCTGGATGGAAGCGCAAATTACGCTGACCAGAATGACAATGAAAACTCCCTGATAAAATCACTTAGTTCAGAGAGATCAATATCATTTAAAGCATCTAAGATTAGTTGTATAAACTTTCCATTATTCATCGTCGTGAATGCTTACTCCTGAGGTATTCTCAATTAGAAATGAACAGCTAGTTTCCAGCGGTTGAAAAATTTTTATGATATTAATCGGTCGGTCAAATTTTCGATGAGATAAAAGCAACATAAACCTAACACATCACAACTGTTTAACTGACTAGTCACTTCATAACCAGTGATGACTATGACAACAGCAAAAAACAATTAGTAGACAGAAAAGATACAAAAGTTTGTGAGAGTTGTTGCATTCTTCTAATATATAAGCATCCATATACATTAGAAAGACACAATTATTAATTTCAAAATCATTCAGTTTATCAAACTGAATGTTTTCTTCAAATAATTTTTAGCAAGTATTTCGGAATAACGTTATTGATGCATTCAATTTCCCTGTAGTCATATCGGAAACAAATTAGGAAGACAGTAAAGACAGCCGAAAGAAATCCCCTAGTAAACTTACTAAAAAAACCGACAAAATTGAGCAGAAATCGACAACAACTCTCTATAAGATGAAGCAATCATCAGCGGTGATTCGTTCGGACACTTTAAACCGTCAGGCTCTACTATTCACAATTATTTAGTTTTCCACAATAACATAAGAAAGATGTTCCCTCCAACCTATAATAGATATGAACAACTCACCATTTAACTCAAATATCTAGTGAAAATTCATCAACCGGTCGGAAATACGATCAATAGACGTAACATCATTGAGTTCTTGGCTTTTGTTAATTTAATAGTGGATATCAGTGTTTCTGAGAAAATGGTGCTTTCTTTGAATTTCGCTTCTCTCTGCATAAATATGACTCAGAGAGACAATCTGTTTCCTTTCTGATAATCATATCAGAAAATAGATTTTTCATTTGACTTCTTTAACCATCGAGCCAGGTAGTTGTAAAATGGTCATTAACAATTAATTGACAGTGCTATGGGATCAGTTCAACTAGCACTAAAAGCACAAGTTCCCTCAAGATTGTAGGTCAATCTTGCTGACAAGTGCTGACTAGCACGAAGCCTAGATCAAGCAGAGTTTTCTGCCAACTACTTTCAAACACTAACTTAAGTTCCACAACTTGGTTTAATCAGACTCAGTTTCAAGTTATAGATAAGTCTTACAACTTGTTTCTATCTAAAAGAATACATTAAAGTTATTACTTTTTGATTAGATAATATCATGTGCTAGTGAGTCT